AGATCACACGATGGTCCTCGTTGGAAGCCTTCACGATGCAACCGTCGAACCAGGATCTGAGTGGCACGCTCCTGGCCTCCGCAGATCTCCAGCACGTCACAGTAGTAGTGCTCATCTGCAGGCAGCCCCCAGTCCAAATACAACGCCTTCAGATCGTCGTAGTAGTAGACCTGCTCTGCACAATCCACAAACCTCCAGGGCTGATGTTCAGAACCTTGGCCGAGGAGGAATATGCCGTCAGGACGAAGCACGGTGAGATCCTCCTCGTCATGCTCCAAGGCCTGCAAGTCGACTTCCTCATCGTCGACACAGGCAACGCGATACACATCATAGCTGTAGTCATCACACCACAAATCTGGACCATCCACTAAAATTGAACTGAGATCATCGCCACAATCATCCCAGTGCTTCTCGTAGTCGTCCATCTTCTTGGGAAGAGTCTTCTTGCCGAATTCAGCCTCACGCTGCTTCTGCTTGATGCGAGCCTCCGTCGGGTAGTGCTGTCTGACCTTAGCACCACTAGCTGCTGCAACAGACTCTGGCACCGTCTCCAGGGGTCGTCCACTGAGTCCCACTATCGGCTTCAACACAAACTCCGATATCACCTGAACAAACTGTCGCAGCTCATGTCGTACCTCTTCGCATTGACCATTCTGCGGGTGATGATGTTGAGGACAGTTGCAGGTGTCGTAGTCTGCACACAGGACAAGATTGGATAGCAGCTTCGAAACCCGACGGCTTGGCAATCCAGAAGCAGAATTCGTGATACCACATCGGCACCACCTGACAGTGTGACGGCTGAGGCGGCAATCGTTGCACATCTGCTCCCAGCCACCAACTTCCCAGACAGAAGATGCTGCACTGGCTTCGACTATGACCGGGCGTTCGGCGTTCAGCTGCCATTGGACCAAAGACGCCACAGCATAGCTCCGCCGGCGATCATGTCGAGTAGGGCCGCCCAGCGCTGCACCCTTGGGTGTCACCCACAGCAAGGCAGGGCACCGTTCACGTAGTGTCTTGCTGGCTCGGTCCATGGCGGCGGTGGTCAGCATCTCCTTAGATCTTAAAGCCATTGCCGTAGACACGATACCAGCAGCAGCCAGCTTCTCATGCAAAGTATGCTGCCGCACCAGATCGTCAGAATCGTCGACGAACACCAAGGTGACGACAGAAGGCACACCAAAATGGGATACCAAATTCTCATCAGACGGCAAGGGCGCCAAGTCAGCACTCAAATTGGGAACCTCCAAAGGATGAGGTCCATGCTCAACAGGTGCACGAGACTGAAATGCCAACGAAGCCGACGGAGGTGCTTTGACCACAGGACAGGCGACGTCAGGACCACACGTGACACCCAGAGGGGATGCAGGCAGCGTCGAAGGCTGTGCCGAAGTACCGGAGGATGGAAGCTCACGGACTCCAGGAACACTTCGTGGCCAGGCCGCCAAAGTCGAGGTTGAAAGCTCAGACTCAGCAGGCTCGCCATCACTGCGGACCGCATCCGCAGACCCGACCTGGTATTGTGCAACTTCGGCCGCAGCCGGTGGACTGGGATGAGGGGGGAGCGCACGAGGTAACCCACTGGCGAGGGTAGCTGCACTCAAGGTTGGAAGAGTACCAGTTCTGCTCGGCAATACTTCAGCTGCGCGACCTGGATCCAAACGCCGTGCCGAGTCTACGGCGCTCGAAGTCACGCTGCCGCCCCGTCAGGAAGAGGATGAATGAAGTAGATGCAGACCAGCGTTGTCAGCAGGCCTGGAGCTCGCGCTGATCTGGCCGATATTCTGGTCCTCAAACTCCGTCACTGGAAGCATCCAATGACCTGACTGCGAAAGCTCCAGCTGATATTCCTTTGAGCCGGGGGGGAGCAGAAACTGGTGATCACCAGGACCGATGAAGTACAAGATTCCGTTGAAGCAGTCCACAATGGCTCGATTGCGACGCAAGGCCTTGTTGCCCAGCAAAGCCGGCACTGAAGAGTTCGGCACGATGGGAGCGTCGTAGCTACCTTCTTCACCACCAGCAAGTGCAAGAGGAACCCGACCTCGATTGATACAGGCATCAGCATTGTTGCCAACACCCTCCACTCCAATCGGCCTATCCATCTTCCTGAACTCAACCTCAACACCGCGGCGAGCCCAGATATCAGAAACACGCTTGAACCACTCACTGCCAGTCAAGTTGTCGTGAGCCCCCGGGTCCACCAACAAGGCCTCGCGGCCGTCAGGCAACCGTGTGCGAGCATGCCAGGCTCCAAGACGCTGTCGAGTGAGTGAACGGCTGCGCTCCTGAGTTGGGAAGAACAAACCTTGTCTGCCCGTATTCTTATGCAAGAAAGGCGAAACGACAGCTGCCGCACTGGCCGCCAACGGCACTGACGAATCACGAGCAGGAGGAGGTGCGATCGGCGCAACTTCTCTCAACTCTGGAGGTTGGTGAGGAGGTGGCGGCATGTAGGACTTGGGTGCAGCCACTGCAGCTGCACGCTTGACAATCAAGGCGGCCTCCTCGTCAGCATGGATCTGGCGCTGGTACATCTTCGAACTCAATATGCTGCTCAGCTGCATGGTCTGAGCCTGAGATCCACCACGCTGTCGATCGGGGCCCTTGCCTATGTCTCGTTTGCCCTTGCCCTTGCGGTTCTTGCCCCCGGGCAGACCTTCGTTGTCGTAGCAGTCATCATCCCCATCGTATTCGTGCCAGTTATCCGAACAGTCCTCGCAGCCGTCGAACGTCTCGTCTTCCAGCGCCAACTGCTTGTGCACGTCGGCCGCCGTAGCGAACCAACCTCCCCCAGCACTGCCAGGTGAGACCCCGCCGTATCCTCCTCCGCCACCGTCGTAGCCACGACCATCTTCGTGAGTGACGAAGGTGCGAGCGCCTTTTCCTTTCTGCGGGCACTCTCTGGCGAGATGCTGGTCGCTATTGCACACATGACAACGAAGCACATTACCCTGGGCATCACGGGGGTTGCCTTTGCCAGTGCCAGCTCCTCCACCCCCGCCAAAACTCTTTCCTCCTTTCTTGCCTGTCTGGTATGCCGAGCCCACGAAGCTTGGAGCAGTACTCGGCACGGAGGAAGCTGCCACAGCAGCGGTCGGATCATGTTCGTAATGAAAACCTTTGCCAAGCAAGCCCCGACCACGATTCTTGCCACCATACTTGGAACCTTTGCGACCATGGCGACGATGGAATCGAGAGGGTCGTCCACTGAACTGCCTCCAACGTCGTCTCGACATGATATATTCATGACGTAGAACATCACCATGCATCTCTGGGTCTACGTCAGCAAGGTAAGCGGCTAGGTCCTGAGGGCCCTCATCGAAGTAGTCGGTGCCACTGGTCGAAGCATTATCATCATCAAAATACACGCTCTGGACTCCAGGCGATGCAGCAGCCGCACCTGCAGATGACCACGATGCCGCCGGCGGCGCTGCTGAAGAGGGAAAGAAACCTCCCCACTGGTTGACCTCTCCAAACGTCGGGAAGAAACCCTGGACGGCATCCTTTGTCATAAAATGTCGGCCTTTGCCGAAGTCGGCGTGCGCTGGATGGGCCGTTGCACCAGGAATGCGCACTGCCCTCTCAGCGGCTCTCATGATGCCATCCTGCATAAGAACATGACCACGACGGCGTATACTTTGAATCAAGCGACTGAACTCTTCTTCATCTTGCGGCAGCCTGTTGTCGAACATACCAAGCAAGTGTAGCCACTCGTCTGGTTGTACTCGCAGGCCCGTCATAAGCATCCAGGCCCAGCCAGAAGGTCCAGGATTCAATCCATGATCAATCGCACGGGACTTGAGCACCTGGAACCGGTTCAGAGCCACATCGATGGTCTCGTGTTGCTGGACCGAGAACGCCATCATCTCAGCCATGGCCCTGATTGCGTCCTCTCCAGCTTCAAGAGCATAGTTGCGAGCCAAAGCCCGCAGCAGCACTGCCAAACCCGTCACCTGGCGTGGACCCAGACCGTCCTGCAGGTCCAGTATCTGCCCTTGCTGTAGAATCTGCGCGTCCAGCTCATCAGCGAACTCTCTCGCCGCGCCTCCGAGACGCAGCACCACGGCAGCACCCTGAGCAGATTCTGGTATCTCCGTCGCTATACTCCACAATGTGACATCTCTAAGCCATCGTCGAAACGGATAACGTGAACTCCATTCTGGCGACCACGCCGGTGGTACTTTCATTGAGGCCATGATCTGAGCCTGGTCAGCATACGTGAGGGAGTCCGCCATATACGAAGCCATAGTACAATTATCACAGACAGGGCTCTGCTCCTCAAGATTGTGTCCTCGGCGGTCGGGAGGGAGAAAAGGCAGCTCCAGCGTCGATACGACCGAACTGGAACTTGTCGTCCAACAGCGAAGCACGCAGTGAAGCCTCGGCCGATGGACCGAGGCTCCGCTACCAAGGTCGAATGAGCGGATCGGCGTCAGCCACGCAGCAGCTACAAGGAGAATCACCTTTTCCACCGGGCGCAGCGGCGCCAATATCCTCATCAGTACAAGAAAAGAAGCACTGGCTGGCCGCCTTGAGCACAGGCGGCAACGGAACGGAGAGGCTCGAGGGGGACGCTGCTTATACACTTTGACTCAACCATAGTCTTTCCAACGGTTTGGCGCCAAGGTTGTGATGTCTGCATCAGTGAAGGCAGGAGCCAGAGTCGGGGAGGCGATGGCGAGAGTCGGACTGACGGGCGGAAGAGTGTGAAGATCGGAGAGCTAGTCAGAATCGTGGGGATAGGAGCCAGAATCGGTGAGACAACCGCATGACTCAAAAATAATAGGCCAAAACATCTGATGCAAAGAAAACCGAAACCGTGGGGATAGGAGCCGGACTCGGAGAGACGATCGCAGGGGCCAGAAATATTTGCGCATGCTTCGGCCCCATTATGCCACAGGGAGGGAGATCCCGGAGGACCCCAGAGGCCCAAAAGGAAGCCACAAACGTGAACAGCAAATGAAAATTAACTCGACGAGAGACGACGACGACGGCGCCTTTCCCCAGCTGGGGTTCTCCGACGACTCCGTCACGAAGGACTGCTGCCCCCGGTAGTCCCCGGGCCCTGGCCCGTCCGTCTCGGTGACCTGAGGGGGGAGGAGGAACAGGGGGAGGAAAGGACAAGGAGGAGGATGAGTAGGAGGAGGAGGAGGGGGAGGAGGAGGAGGAGCAGGAGGAGGAGGAGGAGGACGAGGAGCAGGAGGGGGAAGGGAAGGAGGAGGAGGAGGAGGAGGAGGAGGCGGAGGAGGAGGCGGAGGAGAAAGGAGAGGAGGACGAATCCGGGGTGGACATAACCCTCCCGGTTGGGCCTCGCGAGAGGCCAGGCGAGCCTGCCGGCCACGAGTATAGCGAGCCAACCCGGGTCTTAGAGTGGCCTCCGGTGCGAGCCCCCTGCCGAGCGCTGCCGGCGGGGCGGCAGTAGCTGCCTGCGTGCTCGTGGTTTGGCTTTTGACCCCACGCGCCCTTTCCTCGGGAGCGGCCAAGAGGGGGGTGTCCAAGAGGGGGGGGTGCAAATCATGACTGGCGGCACGTGCGCGGCCCAGCGGGGAGGCCAGGGACGTAATGAAATAAGAAGAAGCGCCATGACATCTAGGGAAATATCATGGCCCACGCCAACTTTCCGCCGCGCACCCCGTGGCCGGAAGCGGCGATCGGGCACCCGACGTCCAGAGGAGCGAGCTGCAGCCCAAGACCCGCAGACGGCACCGCCGCCGTCGGCGGTTTGAGAGGCCCAGACGCCCGACGCCGTGCTGCGTTCCACGCGCGGATGCTGCGGAGCCGGCCGCGCCACGCGCTTGGGGGGCAATCTGACCCCTGAGCCGCCCGCCCCGTCTTTGTTTCACTTCGGCCGCGTCCCTCCTCCCCCTCCTGCATGATGGCACGATTCGGCCCAACAGTACCCCCATTCATGCCTGAATCGCCAGCGCAGTCATCCTCTGCCTAACCGCGGACGCTAGAAGTTCAACACGTGGATCCCCGGATCCTGAATCGCTTGCCGACAGACTGGGGCCCAGCGAGGTCCCCCGGAGGCCCAACGCTGCCAAACCCAAGGTCGTTATTTTGTTTGAGGGAATATGGGAACGACTTTGCCATCGCTCGGACGTCCATTCCCGGCGTATGGGTTCTGCTTCGCGCGCGCATTAATTTGGCAAGATGATCCAGGATGTTTCTCGATGGCCCTCGCCGAGAAAAATGCACACGTCCGACCGATGCCGAACGAGGGATCGGGGCTGTTTTTGCTGGGGGGCATGGTTCGTTTGCCGGGCGCGCCGCCGAACCGGGGTCGACAGTGGAGGCCGGTCCACAAGAAACCTTTTCACAAGAAGCCCCACCCAGAGACCCCAGGACGTCCATTGATGTGTTGGCGTGGCAACGTCAACAAATCAATGGACGGCACCCTGGAGGCAAGCAGGGTGTTTGTTGGCATGGGTCTCCACTATACTCCGACCCCATCCCAAAGGCCTAGGTCCCAGCCCCGTCCGCAAACTGGCATGAATCGCCCCACCGTTACAGCAGCGCCCGCGCTAGCAGGGGGCGGCGGCTGCGGCGATGGCGACGAGCACTGGGCGGGAACTGCTGGCAAGCAGAGAAGCACTCACGACCAAAGCCACGTCACGACCAAGACTTCAAACACACGTCACGTGTCCAGGCGCGGCCAACGCCGGATCGATCCGCGAGGGCCCTGAGGCCCGAAAAGCCGGGCGGCCACGCCCACCCCCCGCGCTGCCCTTCGTGGCCCCGTTGCAGCCCTTCTTCGCCCATTCGCTGCCCTTCGTGGCCCCCATCGCTGCCCTTCGTGGCCCCCTTGCTGCCCTCGTGGCCCCGTTGCAGCTCTTCTTCGCCTCCGCTTGTTCGCCCCCGTCGTGGCCCCATATGCATGCGCTTCGTGGCCCCGCTGTCGCCCTTCGCGGCCCCGTCGCTGCCGTTCGTGGCCCCGTTGCTGCACTCAGTGGCCCCGCCCTTGCCCTCTGCGGCCTAATCTGCGCAGTCGTGGCCCCAAATGCATGCTATTCGCGGCCCCGCCGTCGCCCTTTGCGGCCCCCACGCCGCCCTGCGTGACCCCGTTGCTACCTTCAGTGGCCCCGTCGTTACCCTCTGTGGCCCCGCATTATCTGCCCTTCGTGGCCCCCGCTCGTTCGCGCCCTTCGTGGCCCCATATGCGCGCCCTTCGTGGCCCCGCTGTCGCCCTTCGTGGCCCCCTCCCTGCCCTTCGTGGCCCCGCTGTCGCTATCGGTATCGCTCTCGCTTGCGCTTGTCGTCGTCGTCGTCGCCGTCGTCGTCGCCGCCGCCGCCTCCGCCGCCGCCGTCGTCGTCGCCGTCGTCGTCGTCGTCGTCGTCGTCGTGGTCGGTCCCCTGTCCGTCCCTCTTGGTGTCGGGTTGCCGCCGATCAGCGCTTTCGCTGGTCAGGCCGACGGTCCGCGGCCGCCCCGCCGCTTGCAGGGGCCCGGCCTGCAGGGAAGAAATATATACGCACCAACAACGCCACGATCGAAGACGGAGAAGGCGGGTATCGAGAGTTTGGGAAATGCACGTTGACGGAGACTCGAGCAGATAAGAGCGAACAGTCTTAAAATGATTGTTGTTCTTGTTGTTGCTGTTGTTGTTGCTGTTGCAGTTGTTCCGTACGGGATCTGTGGAACTCCAGACCGTTTCTCGAAGGCCAACTTGCCATCATGAGTCGTTTTTCGGGGATCTACTGACCTGGGTCAATCCAGACCTGGGTTAATCAGGCTCTTCAGAACTCTGCAAGATATCCTGCAGGATCCTGCGCCCAAGCACGGGTCATGGCACCCCTGGCCCAGCAGGATCCTGCAAGATCTGCCCCTCTGACTGACCCCCGTTTGCATCGACCCCCGTCTCTTGACCCCCGAGTTTTCTAACGGGCGCAAAGCCGGTGAAGGCTCCAATAGGCTGGAACTGACGAAAAACCTCCGCCTTGAATGCGTTGGACCTCTGGGGGTTCCCAGATCTCCAGGGCCCCGGCGTGTCCTCGGTGGTCTTCCCTCTCGGGGGAGGGGGGGAGGATCGATCCTTTTCTCGATCCTCGCCATCGATCGGTCAAGGACCCCTGACGATCGATCGATCCATTGATCCTCGCGGGGGCAAAATGAAAGGGGGAGCGAGCACGCGCGGAATCGAAGCGAACGGCTGGCCAGCGGTGAGCTGATCAGCGCAGAAAGGGGAGGGAGGAGCGGAATAAAGGGGAAGCCTGCTGCGGGGCCTTCGCGGGCGAGGTGGAAGACGACAGGGAGGAAAGGGAGGAGCAGAAGGAGGAAGACGAGGAGAAAGATCATGAAGGGGAGGAGCAGGATTGTGTTTTAGACTGTCTGTTGGACCAGATAGCCCCAAAAGGCACACGCGAGCGACGATCCATAACCACACCCCTGGCGCCACCTGGTCAGCCACGTCGATGCGGCGCATGCCTCCGCAGAGGACTGGGGCACACTACTCTGACCGAAGGCCGTGCTACACCCAACGAAGAAAGACGACCCGACTCGGGCACCGAAACCTCAAGCACCGCATGTCCTTCCGCCGATGCAGGTTCACAACGTCCACCCCCAATTCTCCCACGTCTCAGCGGACAGTCCCGCACGCCTTGTCGATACTGCACAGCCTAAGGCGGGCCCCTGCGAGTATCCCGCGCGCATTGTCAATCCATGTGCTTAGAACAGAATATCTAAGAACGCTAGAGGTCCCTTGCAACGAATGCATTGTTTCTCGCCTTGTCTTCGTTCCGCCTTGGCTGCCAGACGGCATCAATACGAAAACGGCCCCACTGTTGAGCTCAGAGGGGCGACGCTGCCATGGGGGCAAGGTCGTCAGCCACGGAGCACCCGTGCGACGGCAAGGGAACGCCTGGCCGTTTGCCTGACGCGAGCCTGGGAGAGTTGGACTCAAGGCAGTGCCGTGCCTGTCGAGAGCCTTGGCAGCGTGGTACGCGGAGCACATGAAGTCACGCAAAATGGCGATCGAGATCCATAGATCAGCGGAGAAAGGGCCAATATCGAAAAGCCAGGTACGGCTGACAACAGAGGCGAAGGCGTACGAAGGAGGAATGTCAGGAATTTGTTGATTGGTTGACTTGCGTAAAACATGTAAGAATGTGGAGGTACCTTCGGGCTCCACCCTGCGGCCGTGTTCGGTGGCCGAGGTGTCGTAGGGAGGTCCTCGGCCCCCTCTGGTGCCAAGTGACGGCATCGTGCACCGGTGTATTGGCGCATTGGTGGGAAAGGGCGGGCCCCAAGCAGCCCCCATGATGGCGTGTGAGGCCCATGATGGTTCTCACTGGCGAGGCCTATGATGGTCCTCTTCGGGGGGGCGAGATAGCAAGGGGCGAAAGAGGAGGAGGAGGAGGAGGCGGAGGAGGAGGAGGAGGAGGATCGAGCCATGGTTCTCCCTTGCCCATGCCGCGCCAAGAGGGGCCACCCTCGAAGGCATCGCCGCCTCCTCCAGGCAGCGGGCCACCCTCCGAACCCTCCCCCAGGACCCCTCCAAAGAGACGCCACGAGAGCGTCCTCTCGATCCTCGACCCCAGTCATCCCTCCTCCTCCTCCTTCTCCTCCTCTTCCTCCTCGATTTTCGATGGGCCCAGGGACACACGAATAAGTAGACACGGATCCAATGATTCCCCCAATTGTTCCGCATCTTCGGGCTGTTCGTCGTCCACGCCCCTTCTCATATTATCCATAATCTCAAGGTGATCGACAATTATTTGTGTCTGGGTGTGTTTTTTCCCTCCTGGATGTCCAACAAGTGGTGACCCCGCCAAAGTAGCACTGCCCAATGGATTCGAGGCGCCAGACGTCTGGAGCCGAGGGGGCTCGGGGGTCGGGGTGATCGAAAGTCCGGGATCCGGGGGATCGATGGTGATCGAGGCGCCGGAAGCCTGGGTCCTGCCTTCCTCCCCATCCTCCTCCTCCTCCGCCTCCGCCTCCGCCTCTTTTCCCCCGCGGGGTCGACCACGTCGTCCAGGCGCGCCGACTTGGAGCCGAAGCCGAGAGCCTCGCCGGCGCGGGGTGGGGCGCGGCCGCAGGGGGGGGAGGGAGGGGGCGCAACCATACGAGTACCCTTGCGAGGCGGGGGTCAACCCGTAACTACCGTCCTGGGGGTCGATCTTCGCGGACGTCGGCAGGCGCTGGATGTGGACACATCTGTCCCCCACCCTGTGGCCGAAGAGATCCATATCCGCCGCCTGCCGAGGTCCCTGAACATGCATCCCCTAGACAGCGGTTGTGGACAATTCCCCGCGTCGGACACCTAACCCCGCAAGCCAAACTTCTGGAAACTGGCTGGGGGTCAGAACCTGATCCCATTTTGGGCCGCACGCCGGCACGGCTGGTCTCCTGGGGTCCAGGAGTTGGTGTTGCGCATCCTTCTCGGGCGTGCTTGTGCCCAAGGCCCACCAGGGCCCTCTAGAAACCTCCAGAGGCCTCCAGAGACTGCAGGAAAAGATGGGGTGAGTGGACGGCGCTTGGACTGAGCTCCAGTGCGGTGAACAACGCTCCAGAGAGAATGGCCCAGCAGAGTCAGCTGAAGGTGCTCGCGACGATCGGCTCGCGCACGGCAGGCCCTTGCTCTGACGACGATGGCCAGGGCTCCTGGAGCCCATTCTTTTTTCATTCGCGATTACGCCCCTGACCCACCCCGCACCCCCTCCGCCCCTGGTCACGTGACGATTCGCGCCGGTCCCGTCTGGGAATCAGCCGATCCGAGGCGATCTCCGACGGCGCCGGCGCGAATCGCGACGTGACTGGCCCCCACCGTCAGCCCCCTCTCAACACCCGGTTGGGCGTCGCTCGCTGGGGGGCAGTAGATGCGGGGGGGAGAAGGATGCACTTTCGTTCGGGAGCTAAAGGTCCCCTTCTGGACCCAAAACTGCCCCTCGGGGGCCCTCGCTGCCCCGCAACTGATAGCCCCCGACTGTGCGAGGCCCAACGGAGGCAATCTCAGACGGCGCCGGCGTGAATCGTGACGTGACTGGCCGCGCCGATCCATGGATGGGCAGCGAGGGCGAACAAAAACTCGTGCAGAAGCATTTTCGGGCCGCAAAGGGGGTCCTCAGGGCCGGGAAAGTGCACCTGCGAAATGTGCCCCTGTTTCTCCCCCCCCCCTCTTATCGCTCCCCCGTCATCGACGCCCAACAAGCGCAGCGAGATAAACCCTTCATGTATCTCCTCGCGATCCTCCCCTCGACGTTCCAGAGGGCACGTGCTGACGCTGACAAGCGTCTGCCCACCGAAGCCCGCCGGTGCGTGAAGCAGAGGCGCCGACGGCCGCGAGGGGCCCCTGCGACATCCGCGATGCGAGCAGGGTCGGGTCAACCTGCATTTGGGCGCCTGCCCTACAGTCGGGGCGTTGACCTAAGGAACCCCAAATAAGGAACGAGGCCCCTTTCCTCCAGAAATTGAACTTCGATTTCCCATGAAAATCTCTGCGTGCGGCCACGCTCAAAACGCGCGGGTCGGCGTCCCCGCGCCCGCATTGGGCGGAGAGACAACCGGCGCCGCCAGGCAGGGCCCGACTGGACTTCTCCAATGGCCCCGCCTGGCAGGGACGCCGCACCCGCACCAGCGCCCAGAAAAGCAACAGGGTGGCAGGGGGTGGGTTACAAAGCAGCCTGCGCCGCGCACGCGGCCGCGTGGCAACGAGAACCCAGGAGCAGCAGTGGCCCCGGGAGGCGGTGGCGACGAGGAGGCCCGTGGCGACGAGGAACCGTGGCGACGAGGAGGCCCGTGGCGACGAGGAGCCGTGGCGACGAGGAGCACCAGCAACGCCCCAAGCTCCAGAATGCACGGCGGAGCCAGGATGGCGACGAGGAAGGGCAGCGGCGACGAGGAGCACGAGACGCAACCCGAGCGCCCAAGAGCACGGCCAGGCGCGCCCGTACCCGCACAGGGGCACCATCGCGCGAATTTGCGAATTCCACTGAGAGAGCTTGGCCAGGGCAATCTGCAGATGGATCGCCTGCGCACCGGAATCCACAGAGACCTCCACTCCCAAAATGGACGCGGATGTTGCCTCCGACACCCGCTTGGAGGCATCAAATTCCCAGCCAAGCAACTCCTCCACAACTTCGCGCGCGACCTCGCTGGCACCAGCCGGCGTGGCAAGGAACGGCGCGCCTGGGACGACTGGGTCTGCGCCGAATAAATCGTCAACGAACCTGAGGAACACAACGGAAAACAGGCGAGCCAGAACTGATCTGATTGCCGCTCCGAAGCGCTCCCAATTGTAGACGGACGCCACCGCGCCGAAAGGACAGGCCAGAAGTTGCAGCCCCAGCCCGCGGCTCTCGGCCGAGTCCCACGTCACCACCGCGAAGTGGAGATGGGAACTAGCAAGCGGGAGGGTCTTAAAAGCACTAACGAAGTCCTCCTTGCGCATCGCGGCTCCGCCGGGTCCTGCTTCGAGAACCGCGCAAAGGACTGCCAAGAAACGGTCTAGCGTGTCCTGCTGGATGGTTTCACCCACAGACACGGCGGCATTTATAAGAGATGCCGAAAAATCGTCGATGCACCGCACTTTGCGAGAGTGACCTTTCCAGCCCTCGTCGGCTGGAAACCGCGCAGTGAGGACGCAATTGCCAGGCAAAGATCGCCACCTCGCATGGCCGTCGCTGACCTCCTGTTCGCATTTTGCTACAAAGAGCGCTCGCACCGAGTCCTCCAGACCCGCTGGCCGCCGAACACGGCAGAGCGTCTCTGCGTTTAAGGCATCAGCCTGCGCGCGTAAACTCGACGCCGACTGGGAGCACTCCCCAAACGGAATTTGGGGAAGCACGCCACTGCGCGGAATCTGGCCAAGAAGCGGAAATCCATTCCGAAGATTCGCTACGAGACAAGCGTCGGGCCACGCAATGGCCTCGAGCATCTCGCTGAGCACAAGCAAATTTTTCTTCGGACCGAGTACTCTCTGGACGTGCGCGGGCAGCAGCCCGAACTCACGCGCCCAAAGTGGGTCCAGCACACGCTTGCGCTCACGCCAGTGCGCGAGACTGCCGGCCCGAGCCTGCGCCAGCAGTTGCCCGCCAAGGCTGAGGGCGGAAGAGAGAGAGGCAGCGATGGACTCCGGCACCTCTGGCAGACCGTCGCCCGCAGGCAATTGCTGAGCCCACTCTAAATGATCCAATGGGCCGAAGCTTGCGACTGCCGGATTCTGCAGAAAGCTATGCACAGCACCCCGCAGCCTGGCCGCAGCCAGGGAGTCGGGATATTCCGAGTGAAACGTGCCTGCCCCGGCCAGGCCGATCAAAACGCGGCCGCCTGCAGGTGCGGTTGATTCGCCATCAAAATGGGCGTCTGCGCCGGGTCCGCCAGAAACGCGGCCGGCATCGCATACAGGCGTGCCGCGCAAACCTCCATCAAAACGGGAGGAAGCTGCACTAGAGCCACTGCGACTGCTCTGGCGGCTAGAACCGCCTCACTTCTTCTTCGACCAGCCACCCTGCTGCCAGCCACTCTGCTGCCAGCTGCCCTGCTTGCGCCCCCACGGGCTGCGCGAGCGGGGCGGCACTGCCGGAGACAACGACCTCTTGGAGCTGCTGCCCGGCGCGGACTCGTGGCCCTTCCAGTCAGCCTTGCCGGGCTTGCCACCCTTACCGCCTGCCTTGCCGGCTGCCATCCTGGCCGCGTCGGCGGCGCGGCCGTGGACCTTGTCCTTGGCCTCCCGCAAAGTGTCCTGGTGCAGCTTCGAAAAGTAAACGTTCCACTCAGGATCGCCGTTCTCGAGGCCCTTGGCCATGTACGTGCGCGCCAGAATGTCATACTGGTACGCCGTGCGGACCCCCCCATGCTCCTCGACCACTTTGGTCAGCAGCATCGTGTATCCAAGAATCTCCAAGGGAGTCGCAACTTTCATCAAAATGAGCTTGACGCCCCAGTCCATCACGTGGGCATGGAACGTCGAATACCCAGGGTAGTCCAGCTCAGTGGCCGCGCGCGCCCGTTTGAACTCCGCCATCTGGCGGTGGCGGTCGGCCACCGAGCCGTCGCCAACTGGCACGTCGACGCGAGGAATCCTCGACCACGAGGGCCGGAAGTTCCTCTGGAGGTCCTCGCCGTCGGCGCTGCCGACGTACAGCCGACCTTTTTCTTTAGCCACACGGCCGGCGGCTTCGAAGACAGCGAGGTTCTCCTCCGACGGGAGGCCGTCCTTTGGGAAGGCCTCCATCTTCAGCTCCTGGAGCCGCGCCTTCAAGTCGAAAGAGAGCGCCTTGACCGAGCGCTTGTGGCTCGCAGCCTGCGCCTCCAAGTACTCCTTCATGGTGTCTGCCAAGGTCGCCTCTGGAGTCGGAGCTGGCGGCTCCGCTGCGGCGCATTTCGCCTGCAACCGGAGTGCGAAGGTGACCTGCGCAGGCTGGACAATCCAGCTCTTGAACTCCGCTGATTCCGCCTCTGCTGTGTACGGCGCCTCCTGCGCTATAGTAACGTCACCAATCATGCCTCGCATGGACGAGTCGGCATAGTCAAGCGGGGAGACAGATCCCATCTTTTCTGCCACCAGCCGACCAATGGACAGGTACCAGAACAAATCATGCCTCGCCTTCGGTGTCGGGTCGATCGACGCCACGAAGGTGCACCACTCGACGGCTGCATCGAAAGTGGCCCTGCACAGCGCTCCTTCCGGCAGGGCGCGCACGAAGGCACACACCTCCTCGCATGCAAAGGACATCACGTTGGAGACGCGCAGTGAGTCAGAAGGGGGCGTTCGGCGCAGAACGAAGAGTCACGCTCGAGCCCAAACAACTCCGGAACACCCGAGCAGGTGCCCAACGTGGGAAGCCAGAGCGCCTGGCAATGATGCGCCACGGCCTGCAGAGCAGCCTCCTACAGGACTGTTGCACCACGGACCACAGGACCACGGGGGCAGCTTTCCTTGGGGCACCCGCGCCACGCTGCCCGCCGGGCAACCGAACAAGACAAGCGGAGCAGCCACCTGCAGGACTGTTGCGGCACTGGCCTCCCGCAGGGCCTGCAGAGCAGCCTCCCGCAGGGCTGTTGCGCCACAGACCACAGGACCACGCACAGCAGCCGCTAGGGCGCCTGCGCCACGCTGCACGGGCAACCGAACAAAACATGCCGAATAGCCTCCCGCAGGACTGTTCCGGCACCGGCCTCCCGAAGGGCCTGCAAAGCAGCCTCCCGGAAGGCTGTTGCGCCACAGACCACAGGACCACGCGCAGCAGCCACCGGGGCCCCTGCGCCACGCTGCACGGGCAACCGAACAAGACATGCCGAACAGCCTCCCGCAGGACTGTTGGCACTGGCATCCCGAAGGGCCTGCAAAGCAGCCTCCCGCAGGGCTGTTGCGCCACCGACCACAGGACCACGCACAGCAGCCACCGGGGCCCTGCGCCACGTTGCACGGGCAACCGAACAAGCCAAGCAGAGCAGTCTCCCGCAGGACTGTTGCGGCACTGGCCTCCCGCAGGGCCTGCAGAGCAGCCTCCCGCAGGGCTGTTGCGCCACCGACCACAGGACCACGCACAGCAGGCAGTGGGGCCCCTGCGCCACGCTGCACGGGCAACCGAACAAGACGCCAGAACAGTCTCCCGCAGGACTGTTGCGGCACTGGCCTCCCGCAGGGCCTGCAGAGCAGCCTCCCGCAGGGCTGTTGCGCCACGGACCACAGGACCACGCACAGCCGCCAAAGCAGCCTGCACCACGCCGAACAAGCCAAGCAGAGCAGTCTCCCGCAGGACTGTTGCGGCACTGGCCTCCCGCAGGGCCTGCAGAGCAGCCTCCCGCAGGGCTGTTGCGCCACCGACCACAGGACCACGCACAGCAGCCACTGGGGCCCCTGCGCCACGCTGCACGGGCAACCGAACAAGACACACAGAGCAGTCTCCCGCAGGACTGTTGCGGCACTGGCCTCCCGCAGGGCCTGCAGAGCAGCCTCCCGCAGGGCTGTTACAAAGCAGCCTGCGCCGCGCACGCGGCCGAGTGGCAACGAGAACCCAGGAGCAGGCAGTGGCCCCGGGAGGCGGTGGCGACGAGGAGGCCCGTGGCGACGAGGAACCGTGGCGATGAGGAGGCCCGTGGCGACGAGGAGCCGTGGCGACGAGGAGCACCAGCAACGCCCTAAGCTCCAGAATGCACGGACGGAGCCAGGAAGGCGACGAGGAAGGGCAGCGGCGACGAGGAGCACGAGACGCAACCCGAGCGCCCAAGAGCACGGCCAGGCGCGCCCGTACCCGCACAGGGGCACCACTGCCACCGCCAGCCAAAGGCGCGGTTATCCTCGCGCACTCGCGGCCAGAGGGAGGAGAAGGGCAAGTGGCGTAGCATCCCCACGCCCAAATCCACCAGCCGCACGCGGCCACCGGCTGTAAGCACAACGATCCGCCGCGCCACGGGGGGCACTGCCAGGCAGTGAACCAGCGCGATTCCCCTGAGGCCACCGAGGCCAGGAAGCGAGGAGACCACTCGAGTCCTCCTGGAGATTTTCCTGCCCCCCAAACCGCTGCACGATTTAGGGGCGATCGAAAACCAAAGCAAAACCCAAGGCAAACTGTGAAGCAATCAAGGAACACGGAGCCCCTCCCCAACGAAAAGGGTTCCTTCCTCAGGGCCCCGACTGTATCTTCATCCATCAGCACTCCTGATCCATCTCTTCAGACTCCTTGCCACTCCTGTGTTTCCTCACTCCTGTCCCCGCCCTTCGGTTCTCGCGCCCTCGTCGAGCGCTGTGGAAGGCCAGAACCAAAAAACGAAGAGAGAGCGAGCAATGCCCAGGACGAGTGAGGATATATCACATCGAGAATCAAGACGGGGAAGATGAGGAAGACATGCAATTATGAAATAAGCAGAAAAGAGACGAAGGAACGGAATGAGGCTATGAATATAATCCAGATGGATTAACCAGAAAAAAACAACAACGAAGAGCAGACCGTTTCAGGGAATCTGGCCTCCGACGTCTCCACGGTGCTCGAGATGCGTTCCAAGACGGCGCAACAACTGCTCCTATGCGGTGCAAAGGCCTTGAGAAAACCTAATATGGCCGCAAGACATGCCAGGGGCTCCCAAGACGTCCTAAGCATGCTCACAGAGGACAGCCTAGAATGCACCAATGAGAACATACCGGCGATCATTTCTGAGTGCTTAGAAGATTGTCGTGTTCTCGCCATTTCGGCCCTTTGACATCCTCCGAATTCTGGTCCCCATGAGGAAAACACTCTGTAACAAGAAACCAAACAACGTTTCGCTCGAGACATCCTCAAACAATCATCGGCTGGCCCTCTTCGGCTCAGCTGTTCAGCGCAACGAAAGCCAGGGGCAGGCCTGCTTTCTAAAAGAAAGCCGTGGCCAATCTCCGGGAAGAGCAAAATCGTGGAAGAGAGCGCCACATCCCCACAGACCCCCCTCTCGCTGTGGCAGCTGCCGCGCCCGATCGAGCCGCGAGGGCTCAGGGGGTGGTCCTGGACGAGGGCGACGGTGCCTGGCGCGACATCGCTGCGACGCCCAAATCCCTGTAGCAGAGGCCAGCCGGATGGGGTCGGAGTAGACGCGGTCGGAAGATCGCGCCGAATGCCTCAACGATGCACCTGCGATGCGACGCCGACGTCGGCGATGCACCGGCGACGCCGACGCGAAGCGACTCGGGCTCCCCATCGAGCCGCGCCGCCGACGCCTCGGCGATGCGGAGCACTCCTCTGGCCCCACCTGCGCCGACCCCGCCGGGGAGGCCTATAGAAGACCGCGGGGGCCCCTTGGCTGACTACCTACCAGACCACCCCAACCCAACACGAAGACCCGAATTTGATCCGAATTTCGGGTTGGGGGGGGTACGGGTTCCATGTGTTTTTCCGATGTTCTCCGACCCCCCACACTGGAAATCGAGGATAAATTTGGGCCTTCGGGTTGGGTTGGGGTGATTTGGTAGGCGGTGATATAGAAGACCGCGGGGGCCCCTGGGCGGGAGGGCGCCCGCCCCCCGCGGGGCCTCGCGCGAGCCGGGGACCAGCGACGTCTCCATGCCTCGGGCGCCGCTCCGCGGGGATCTCTCGCCCGGGCGCGCCGCGGGCGGCGGGCCCAGAGATCCGACGTCGTGATGTTTTCAAGGCGGGGTTCCCCCAAGCCTCGACCGAGTCCCCAGGACCGGTGTTTCCTCCTGAGTCGTTTTTTGACGGTCCTCAGGGCCTGGCGAGGGCCGCTAGAGGGAGAATCGAGAACATCCGCCGTCTTGATTTTTTCGATGCGTTGGATGTCTGGGGGGCGATCGCAGGCCGCCGGGCCGGGCCGCGGAACGCATGGATGCCCGTGGCCACGCCGCGGCCCGGCGCCTCGGAGCCTTCCGGGTGGGGGGGGGCCCGAGGCCCCCGGGCGCGCGCTGCTCCCTTCGAGGCCTTCCCCCGCAACCGTGGCGTCTAGCACAATTATGTCGATGCCCACTGGTCTTCCTCCTTCTCCTCCTCCTCCTCCTCCTCCTCCTCCTCCTCCTCCTCCTCCTCCTCCTCCTCCTCCTCCTCCTCCTCCTCCTCCTCCTCCTCCTCCTCCCAATCCTCCTCCTCCTCCTCCTCCTCCTCCTCCTCCTCCTCCTCCTCCTCCTCCTCCTCCTCCTCCTCCTAATCCTCCCTGCCGAGGCAGGAAAATGGACTGAGGCGGGCCAGCAATCAGCAGCACGGGGAAAACGGCCGGATGGGCCGAGTCCTCCTCCTCCTCCTCCTCCTCCTCCTCTTCCTCCTCGCCGTCCGTTCCCCCCTCGTGGTTCTACTGCACGTCCTCCTCCCACTTCCGATTGCCTCTTACATCTCCTCCTCCTCCTCCTCCTCCTCCTGCATCTTTCCGTGTAGCAGCTCCTCCGCGTCGCTCCCCCTAACGAGTTGGTAGGCAGACAGGGGGGTTGGCCTCAGACTTCCTCGGTATTCATTAGCCTGCAGCTTGGAAATTGAAACAAGGTGCATGGACGGAATGCGGGTGACTTGCCCTTGGTTTTCAGCGGGAAACTTTTTTCTCTACTATGCTCGCTGGTCAAAGCGACTCGGATCCGAGGCTGGAGAGGCGGGTGCCTCAACTCGCCTCTCTTTGAAACCACATCCTGGCAGAAGCGAAGCGAGAAGGGAGGGCGAGCCAGGCGGCTCGGAAGGGAGGGGAGCCAGGATGACTTCGGAACAACGGCAACATGGATCGATGAGACCGACACCCCGAAATTCGCTAAGTCATTACTGCGCACGTACCCCCATGACTTACCCTTGGTTTTCAGCGGGGAACTGTTCTCTCTACTATGTTCGCTGGTCAAAGCGACTCGGATCCGAGGCTGGAGAGGCGGGTGCCTCAACTCGCCTCTCCTTGAAACCACACCCAAATCCGATTCCCACAAAAGCATGCTGTCACCCCGTAAGGTATCGCGCCCGCAGGGCGCTCAAAACTGTGAAAACGACTGCTTTATGGAAACACGCGGGGGTAAGCTCGGCGGGGCGGGGTCGGGAGACGTGTTTCGTGTGGCCGCCCCGAGCCCTGACGCCAAGGCACTGCAACCCTAGACGGTTAGCGTCGCTATGCGCAATGTTACTGACAAACGTAGCGACGTTCAGCCTAGAAGCCCCCTTGTATCTGCACGTGTGAGAAATGACAGGAGTGGAAGGGAGCATAAAGAGGCGGGCGGTGGCTGTCTCACCCACAGACTTGTAGCAACTGGCCGCCAAGGGAAGCCCCAAAGTCTCCGCGCACGACACTAAGCGAACGAGTCCTCGAGAGATGGGCTGTTCGCGCAGGGGGACTGGGACTCCACCGATGCTCCCCCTTCTCATGTCAGATCTGAGCCTGAACGAAAGAGAGCCTGACACATCGCAACCCTCGGTATATCGAACGAGAAAGCCAGCGGCCACGACATGTGCAGGAGCGCTACAAGCATGGCCCACGACCAAGACAAAAAGGCGCCTCTCATTTATCGGGAATGCGAAGCCGGCTTCGGCAGCACGCGGCCGTGCGCCAAGATCTCCACGAACTGTTCCTCGCACTGCGCTGCGTGCTGCCGTAGCCAGCTCGGGTGGGCCATCCGCGTCGAGCTCAACCTCGCGCTCTTCTCGTATCGCACCACCGAGCGGTCTGACTTCCAGCCGCCCCGCTTTTTGACCTCCGCCAGCGTGCGCCGACTCGAGGCCATGTCCGTGCTGGCGCCACTCTGCCTGGCCTGGTACACCACCAGGTTGAAACCCAGGTCGCGGTCGACTTTCTGCACCGCAGCCGCCAGCTGGGGATAGCTGAAGATCCAGACCCGCCCCCCAGGAGGTCGAGACCGAAGAGCCTGGAGCATGGGAGTCAGACTGGCCCACCAGCCGCGGCCCAACTAGATCGTCACGTCGAACTCCTTCGCCTTGGAGGGCACCCCGTCGACCTCTGGGTTCAACTGAACGGTCCAGTAAGTGGCCACCCGGCTGGGGACGTACAGGTACTCGGGCTCGAGCGCCATCAGCTGGAGAGGGCGCGCGCATGTGCTCCACATGAGACAGATGAACAAGGCCATGTCGCATCGCCCCATGCCGCGCAGCCCGTTCACGATGGCGCGCCAAACGGGCCGCGCTTCGGGCAGACGGGAGGTCGAGGGGCACAAGTTCTGCCATCCCCTCAGCGCCCCCCCAGCTGCGACGCAAGGCGCGCGGGCCTTGCTTCCCCGCCTTCGGCCGAGCGCGGACCACCCCAGCCAACAGCTTCATGCCGCGAGCTGCCGCCACTCCCGACTTGATCTAGTGATCGATGTACTGGACCAGCAGGTCGTCCAGATCCTCGATCGGGATCTCCGTCTCGCGCGCGACGCCACAGAACAAGCTGAACTGGTGCACCTCCTGGGCATGCCGGGCCTCGGTCCGAGGCCTCACCGCTGCGTGCTCTCCCAGCGTCAAGTGGGAGAGCTCTGGAAGCGCCTCGGACGCAAGCAGCTTCGCCAGCGCGTGCTTCCTGCCGCGAGGGAGCGTCCGCTGCCGCACGGCAGCCGTGGCCCCGCCCTCGCTGTCCGAGCTCGACGCCTCTCTGAAGCGCGGATCGGTCCTGGTCAACCCCTCCAGCTGCTCCAAAATAAGTCTCAACTCGGAGTCCGCAAGGCCAGGCTCGCAAGCGCTGCGGGCCAGAGCGGCGGCCCCCAACTCGCCCTCCGTCTTGAGGACACGGGAAGTGCCCTGCAGCGATGCGGACGGCCCCAGCGAACTCTCCAGTCGGCGCTTCCTGGTCGGCGCAGCTGCCGGCAGCACTTCGGACCGCGACGAGGCTAAGACCCGAACTCTGGCGGTGCAAATAGACTGGGGCGATAGCATGCGAAGTGGCGTGGGCCGAAATGCCTACGGATGGGGCCCTTGTCTCTACCAGGAGACTCCAGCTAGGGGGCCCACTGCAACGCGTTATTCTCCAGAAGCCCTAGACCTTGCCAAGACGTCTCGGGAGGCTGCAAATGAAAACTGCCAACGGACGAATCCATCGGGTTACAAGGTTCCTCCGCCTCACCAGGGTCCTGGACATCGTCGTGGGGGGCGCGCTTATGGGGGCGGGGGTGGTCAACGTCGTCGTCTCTCAGGGGCTACCGAATTCGACCGTAAATCAAACAGGCGAGAAGGGGGCGTCGGCTGAATCCCTTTCGGACGGAATCCAGCGCACAGGGAGATGAGTGTTACGACTGAGACACCGCGCCGCCATCCTGCGCAAGACCACGAGGATTTTGAAACTCCGACATCGCCACCTCCCTGCGGCCAAAACGAGGCCTAGGTCGTCGGCAAAGAGAAGCTGGCGAATGTTGCGACCGTGCCTGGTGCGACTCACTCGCTCCGGGCCGCGCAGCATGCCGCGAGCCTCCAGGGCCATGATGTCTTCTGGCTGCTCGAACTTCCAGCCGCCGACTACCGTCCAAGCGGCGTGATCGGTCATGCAGCTGGGGACCTCGGCAAAGTGCGGATCAGGCTGGAGGTCTGCGCGGCCCAGGCAGCCCTCTACGTCAAGGGGCTCGAAGGGGGGCGGCTCGGCCCCGAGCGCCGCCGCGCGAGCTCCGACGCGCCCCTCTGCGAGGTAGCGGTCGAGCTCTCGGCGGCGGCCCACGGCGGCGACGTCCTCGGCGGCGAACCAGCGCGTGCAGATGCCGTAGCCCGCCTCCGAAGCGTCGGGGGCCAGCGTCGGCGGCCACGACGAGAGGGTTCCAGTCCGACTCCCAGCTGGAGACCAAGAAAACCATCAGGCCCGCGGAGGCGCGCAGCTCGTCGGAGACGGAGGGCCAAAGGGACGCGGGCCGGTCGTAGCGCCGCCTGATGAACGGGTAGACCGTCGCGGACACCGACAACATCCCGCGCCTCACCAGCCCGCAGAAGGCGGCATGCCCAAAGACGATCTCCACTTGACGCCCAGTGGCGCGGCGGCGCCCCGCCAAGGCCAGCAAGGCACCTCTGACGCTCCAGAAACGCTTGGCCGTCAGCCTCGCGTGGCGCCGCCGCCCGTCGAGGAGCACCCCCGGCGCCTCGACGCCCGAGTCGGAGGTGGCCACCTCGTTCGCGGCGAGGCCCCTCGCCTCGAAGGCCGCGCAGACGTCCTCCAACTTCGATGCGACCACGCTGCCGTCTGACCCGAAGACCCCGATGTTGTCGACGTAGATGTAGCGCCTGGTGTCCGAAGCGGCCTCGCCCCGCAGCGCCTGGGCCAGAGGCTGGCCCCGATCGCGAAGCAGCTCGCCACCTCCTCGTCGATGTCCTGCGCCAGAAACAGGCCCCACGAGAAGCCCATGGGCAGACGCCGAGGCATAAGCGTCACAATCTCGTCGGGCCCGACTGGGCCATCCAGGGCATCCGTCAGCCCCACATCGGCTGCGCGGACGGGGGGCGAGCCGCACCAGCGAGAGAGCCAGGTCGGGATGCCCATCCGATGAAAATCATCCTGGACGTCAGCAGTGCCACAACAAAAACGAAGAATATTCTTGACAGTCGGGGAGCTCAACCTCGATCCGACCGAGACCTTCGGCCGTCAAGAAATCGACGCGCGGCGGCGGCGCAAACCGCCTGTTGGTCCGCCGCGCGTCCAGGATGAGGCGGAGCTTGCCGTTCATTCTTGCGAACAAAAAAGAGACCAGTTCGCCCATGGGCCCATCCGCCGAAGACCAACATGTTCCTGGCTTTGAGGTTTCGGACGAAACGGGCGTGGAGCGCGGGGCTGCTGGCGAGCTGTTGGTCAACATAGCAGCGCGCAGCGCCGCCCTCCAAACTGTCGCTGAAGGTCGGATCCAGCATGCGCTCTCCTGCGCCCTCCAGAAAGTATCGGCCACGCCCCCCGACAAAGTCCGAGACGCTCGGGACGCTGGTCCTCTTCTCGGGCAAAGAGACCCGGCCGCGCTGGCGCGGCGCGAGCGTAGTCGAAGAAGCGTCCATCCTATAGCCAGACGCCTTCTCACAGAGCAACTCCCGAAGGGCCACTTCTGGCGGCTCGTAGAACTCCCGAGCCTCCTCGCGCACCTGAGGCTCCGCGAGCGACTCCAAGCATGCCGGGCCCTCATCCAGCTGGGGGGGTGGGGGGTGGGGCCTCCCGACGGGAGGCGTCGCATCCGCTGCGGACGGGATCTGGGCGGCCTCGGACCACTGCGGGGCTGCGGGGGCCAGTTTTTGCAAGCCAATTAAGTGCATTGGCAGATGCCTCGACCAACTGACGCACGTGATCGCGAGCACGGTAGCGTCCACGGCGGCGGAAACCTTTCAGCGGGCTGTGGCGTGGAGACACTGTCCACAGCCCGTCATCCTGGTCAACCACCCCTCGGGGCCGCGGAGCCTCTGCCGCCCCGCCCGCCCCGACCTGCATCACCGCCGCCTCCGCGGCCTCGTCCGCCGTCGGCGGCGCCCTGGCCGCCTCCCGCGTCAGCGCCCTCTGCCGCAGGCCGCAGCTGGCGCGTCCGAGTACTCTCGATCTTCGCCCTGTCCTTCAGCTTGTCCACTCCCCACTTCCGCAGGGCGGGGGCAATGGCGTCGCCGTAGCTCGCCTCGCCCTCGTACACGGCGGCCGCGCGCCAGGACGGCACCCCGCCGCCCATGGAGTAGGCGTCTATCACACCCAGCATGCGCCGCGCCATCTTCTCTATGCCCGCAGACGCGCCCAAGTTCAGCTGGTCGCACTCGCCGAATAACTTGAAGCTTTCCGTCAACGTAGTCATCTCATGGTAGACGCGACCCGTCTTGGAGATGCTATTGCTGCGCGAGAACTCCTGCCACCAGCGCCGCGGATCACCGTCGACATGGCGGGCAAGGTGAAGCGTGCCTGGTGGGCCCTGCACCTCCACTGCGTAGATGGGCTCCTCCCTGCTCTCCTGCGCCGCCTTCTTCCAGTTCTTGCACCTCTCTCCCGCCTCGTCGTAGTCGACCCACAGCGTTCGGACGTCTTCGTCCGAAGGGGCCAGCTCAGCAGCGCGCGGAGCAGCCAGGGCGGCGGGCCCAGCAGCGCCAGAGAGCCCCTCGCACCGTGCCCCCAGCGCCCTCACGACCTCCACGCAGTCGCGGTGCGGGACCGCCTGGGCATAGAGGAAGCTGCCGTGCCTGTAGACCAGGCCGTCCGTCGTCGTGACGGTCACGTCGCCAGCGCGAAGGGTGACCTCCATGCCCAGCGTCTCGTGGCCATCGGCGTTCTCGGTCACCAGCCAGACCAAACCCTCATGGAGGGCTGGGCGCTCGGGCAGCACGGCCAGGTAGGGCGCCACGGCCCCGCCCGCGCCTGGACTGACATCACCGCCAGGCGGCGCCGCCTCGGGGGGCAGGGGCAGTTCGGGAGTGGCGGCCCCGTCGTCAACAACGACCGCCCCCGCGCCGCCGCCCCCCACGCCAGCGGCGCCTCCTCTGCGGAGCCGTCGCCCGACGCCCGAAAGAGGGGCCAGAGCGCCGTCCTCGGTCACGAAGTGCAGCAAGGCAGGAAGCTCCTGTCCCGCGGACCGCATCCTAGCTACGGCCTGCTGGGCTTCGCGGCGGACACGGTCATCGCAGGGATAACCGTCGCCTGCAAACCTATAGAACCTGCCGCGCAAGGCGCGAGGACAGGAGCCAACCAAGTCGAGCATAACCAGCCTCTCGCCCTCGCCCGCCTCCATGGAGATGTCCTCCTCATAGAAATCCCCATCTGGTGTCAGGATCCACCACTTGGTGACGACCCCCGCAGCATCGCGAAGCCCAGGGCCCATCACAACTCTCTCATGCCAGAGGTCCTCGCCAGGGTACCTGATGGCCACGATCCGCCCTGGGAGCAAAGTACCCGACAACTTCTGCACCGAGAATGGCCTTCCTGTGTCCCCGAGCCGTTCTCGACGAGCCACCACCAGCGCCATGCCGCCAAGCGCAAGCCCAGCGCCAGCCGCAGTAGATCACGAGGATGCAGGACGGCCCAGCACAGATCGAAAAAAGGCCGCGATGAAGACGAGGCGGGTGTCCCGCTCCACCGAGTCGCAGGCCACCTCGCACACGCAGCTCTCGGACCGTGCCCGTCGAATGATGTCCTCGACCACGCCGGGGTTGAGAGGGGGACTCGGAGCAGGAGGCCTCCACCTTCGCAGCAGGTGCAGGCGGCGGCTCCCGCACGGGAGGGTCCTCGGGCCCGAGAGGCCCGCGGCTCCAGTGGCGCGCGGCGGCGTCTCGCAGGATGAGAGTCGGTGTGGCTAGTACGACCCCGATCACCGACTGCATTCGGTGCCAGAACCCTTCGAGCCAGGATGACGTCGGAGCAACGGCAACATGGATGGATGAGACCGACACCCCAGACCCCGCTAAGTCATCACTGTGCACGCACCCCCGTGACTTTCAACATGTTCTGTCTTTAGCGCCGCTCACGTGCGCTTTAGTTTGCAATTTCACGGATGGAAGGCGGGTGGTTTCCAACATGTGGCTATGGCTCTCATCTGAGCGCCGCACACATCCGCTTTAGTTTGCAGTTTCACGGATGGGGGGCGGGTGGTTTTCAAAATGAGGCTCTCGCCTTAGCGCCACGCACCTTCGTCTCAACAGTTTTCAGCAGCTTTGTTGGAGGGTAGCTCGTTTGTTCAACGTGCACCTCGCCGCGGCGCGACGCATAGTCGCCTTAGGCAGTTACAACAGCTTCAAGGATTCGGATGGTCGAAATCCCAGACATGGTGTTCTGGCACGGTTCGGGACTGTCAGCGCGCACCAGTCACGTTGATCCGCGTCGCTGGAGTCGCAAGGACATTGTTTTGTCACTGCAACGTATTCTCAAACGGTTATCTTCTAATGCGCGACTTCCCGCAACGAGAATAGACCCCACCAGCCCTCTAGGCGTTGGTGGTCTAACGAGGTCTTTCTCTATTCTTCCAAAGCCTTGTTCCCTTCGGGGAGAAATGCCCCTCCGTTTCCATTTCCTGGTTGGTCATGTGTGGGGTTCCGCCAGGTGCCACACGGTATTGCTTCGCCCACGGTGGCTCCTGCAGGGCCTCCGATGCTCCAAGGTGGCCCTCTAAAGTAGGCCAGGGTAGCCGAAGATGGCCATGCAGAAGCCATCCTGGCCCAAGAGCCGATAGCCCACGATAGCTGAAAATCTACAATGCTGGACGCATCTTGGGCCACACAGGGCCTCCAGTGCTCCTACATTGGCCTCTAAGGTAGCCAAAGACAGCCGAATATGGCTCAGGATTGCGCCCAACAGGCCTCCAAGAGACCTACAGAGGGCAACGGCACGGTTCCAAATCCTCTGGCCCCCCCCCAGAGGCGCCGGTTCGCTTCCGATGCGCTTTTGAAGCCTTCATATTGCTTCAAGACGGCCCAAGGTATCGCGAGAAGGGCCCGAAGAGGCCCCACAGACGGTCCCAGTAGCGCCCAAGAGACGAGTTTGAGGGCCCCAGAGGGGGGAGGGGGCAACTTTAGGTCCAAAATGGCCTCAAAAGGCCCTCCAGGGCTTCCAAGAGTGCCCCAATAGACCTCCAAGAGGGCCCCAATACGGCCCCAAGAGCGTCCAAGAGCACCCCGAGAGAGACCCACGACGGCCCCCAAAGGCGATGTGCCTGCTCCTCCTCCTCCTTTTCCTCCTCTTCCCCTCGCCCCCCCCCCCCCCCCGGCGGGTTCCAGGGATGGCCCGAAGAGGCCCTCCGAGGCCAACCCCTTGCTCCCAACGATCTCTCTGCTCATCCTGGCCGCCCGCATCGTTTCACTGTATGTGTCCTTCGTCCCGATTCCCGTCAGCGCTCACGGGCAGGGTTTCTGAACGGGCTGGTGGGGATGCGCGAAGCATGAACGCCTCCTTCAGGCACCCGTGGAAGACGGAACCTAACTAGAGGGAGGGTCTACTGCGAGGTCGTTGATGCATCTTGGGTTTACACTGGTCCTCCTCCTCCTCCTCCTCCCCCCGTTTCACCTCGCCCTCATCGCCCTCTTCCTCGCCCCTCTTCGCCCCTCTTCCTCGCCCCTCTTCGCCCTCCCTGCCCTCGCCTGCCCAGCGGAGACCCCTCGCGGAGGCCTCCGCGGGAAGAGCCCCGCGGAGGCGTGGCCCGCGGCTGCCGAGCCCTGACGCTGCCTCGCCCTGCTACGGCGTCGTTGTCGTCGTCGTCGTCGCCCCCCCCCCCCCCCTGTTGGGTGCGCCGAGGGGGGGAGGGGTAGCACATCATGGCCTGAAGCGGATGCGCGGACGAGTGGATACCCGGGGGCGAAGAGGATGAGAAGGGGCATCACACCTGGAAAATATCATGGTCGAGGCCATTGCATCCACACGCACACACACACACACTCTCTCACACACACAGTCCTCACCTCCCTGTTGGACCCCCCGTCTTAGACGAGAGACACGGGTCCTGTGGGAAGCGGGTGCTGAACCACGGGGCCTTCTCCCTTGACCAATCAATTCATTATCCTGAACCGTTTTGACACGGGTCACGTGGCCCGAACAACAAACCCAACAAAAACACCATTATTTGGCGCACGCTAACATGACTTACGGATCCGTGGATCTGGCGCCAACGGATCAGGGAAGGCACGCATCCCCGAAACACGAACCCAACGCCGCCTGAATCGGCGACGGAGGACCGCGTAAATCACGTACGGAAATGGGACCCGTCGCCAGTCCACGCGCTCGAACCCATGCTTGCGCTTCCTTGGCATCAGGACCCGCCGTCTCCCTCAAAACCCCCCTGCTGCATGGCGCCAGGGCCGCGCGATCGAACCGATCTGGGCGCCACTGGGCGCCCATACGCGTGGGGATCGTGGGCGTGGAGCGCTGGCGGTCGAGCTTTCCCCTCGCGGGCGCCTGCCGCGGCACCACCTCGGGGGTCGTCGTCGTCGTCGCCGCCGGCGTCTTCTCCTCCTCTGACGATGACGAAGACCGCGACCCGTCCCTCCATCCTCCCTCCTCCATGCCTCGCTCCACCTCCTCCTCCCTCCCTTCTCCCTCCCCTCTACCCTCGTTCCCTCTCCATCCCTCCGTCGCTGTTCACCCCTCTTCTCGCCATCATTCCCTCCTCCCTCCTCCCTCCTCCTCCCTCCCAGCGCGGCACCGCATCGTGGGAGGAAGAAGGAAACACATTGACGCAAACATCGGTGCTCACGTGCGTCATTGCTGACGTGCCTGTGTCGACCGGAATAAGTCAGTACGTGGACTGCGCACGGAGGCCGATAAGGGCTCCAAGAATATTGGTGGGAGCTGACGCGATAAACCTGCACTGGGCGGTCCTACGTTTCATGGTCCGAACAAGTGATCGCATCGCTCGGACGAAGCCGTCAGGCCTTTAAAATTGCCCCCTGGCCCTGGATTCGGCTGGCAAAGATCGGCGTCGGTGTTCGTCGTTGGCCGGCGAAAGGCCACCCTAGAACCAAAACATGCTGATACCGCCAATACCCGGACATCTTCTGTGGCGAGGTCTGACCCGAATGTCGACGTTCTGGCCGTGGAGACGAGGGCCCTCCACGACGAGCAGAGGTGTCGGTATCTGCTCCACCACTGTCGGCTACACGCAGGAGTGACCGTGGGCAAGAGTGACCTTTGGTGCGGACAAAGGGGGCGCAAGGTGGCCAAATCCAAGCGCGCAAGCAGCCACAATATCGCATCACGCTCAGCGATGGAGGGAACCGGATGAGCCCGCACCAAAGGTGACTCTGCACTATTACGTGCAGTCGACTCTGAAATCTTCCCTGTAGCCGAGATGAGGACAGGGCTGATCAGGAGTTCGCCGGCCCAACGGGCCAGAGGCGTGGCGGCCCCTGGGGACGCCCAGATGAAAAGTACCCCAGGCGATGCCCGGGCGATGCCTGGCCGACTGCCCCGCCCTGGGGCCCTCCAGGAGCGCGCTTCCCCTACACGGCCCGAGAGGCCCCGAGTCACCGAAAAGCCTCTAGAAGTTCTCAAAGAGGCCCAACAAGCAAACATCGGCCCTTTCCTTTCGGAAAACGTACATGTTTCGCATGTGCGACGTTTCTCGTAATTCGGCTTTACAACGCTCCAAGACGGCCCAAGAGGCCCCCAAAACCGCTCCAAGGCGGCCCAGGAAACCTCTAAGAGGGCCCCAACACGGCCCAAGATGGCCCAAGACAATCCAAAAGGCGCTCAAGATGGCCCACGAGGACTCCCAAGAACCACCCCAAAAAAACCCAAGAGTCCCCCAATAAGCCCCAAGAGCCCAACACGGCCCCCTGCAGGCCTCAAACATGCACCCCAGAGGCCCCCAAACGGCTCCAACACGGTCCCAAGCGGCGGGGCAATATGGGCTGGCGGAGTGAGCAAAGCGATGAAATGAGATCTTCTAAGGGTCTTTCTTTTTGTCCACCGTGGCCCGCCTCCTCGGCCTGCCCCTACAGCCTGGGCGCGACGAGCGCCTCTACTGGACGCGCGACGAGAACCTCCCCACAAGCGCGCAGGACGGCGGCGGTAACGTTGTCCCGCGCAGACATCACCAAAACTGCGAGCAGAGAAAAAAAGAGGAAGAGGTGGAGGGGGAGGAAGAGGTGGAGGGGGGGGAGGAGGAGGAGAAGGAGAAGGACGAGGAGGAGGAGGAGGAGGAGGAGGAGGGGGGAGGAGGGGGAGGAGGAGACGGAGGAGGAGGAGGAGCGAGGAGCGAGGAGGAGGAACAGGAGGAGGAGGAGGAGGAGGAGGAGGAGGAGGATTACACTGTAAGGATTACGCAGTGTGGCCGTCCACGCGGCACAGGTCGCAGCTCGGCACCGCAGCACCAAGGGGAAAGTCGAAACCCACACCAAGACCCTGGTGCCGAGAGAGCCGTCTTCAAATTCATCCAGCGTGCTCCAGAAACGCTCTGCCGGAGCACGCTGGCACGCAAATAATCCACCAACCCTGCCAGGGGTCCATAAACCACGAAACCATCGAATAACAGGTGACTCGGCAACACGCCGGCGTCAAAACTGTTAAACAAATTCCGGGCACTCCGGGGGTTCAAGAGGTCGCGGAATCGGCTTCAATTCTCAGGCGCATCTCGCGCCAAATCTGGCGGGCACGGATCGTCCTCGTCCGCGCCGCCGAAAAGCCACTATGCCGCCTCGTCCTCTGGGTCGACCGGCCTTGCCACAGGCTGAGAGGAGTCGCCAGGAATCACCGTGGGAGCACCGTCCTGAGCTCTCGACGCAGCCACAGCCGATGGGGCAGGTCCTCGGGCCCCAGGGTCCCCCGCCACAGTCGCTTTGGCCATCTTTTCAGCACAAGCGCGCATGCAACGCCTCGAGGACCGAATTACGAGGGCCCTCGCCGCGTGGGTACTGGTCTCGCCTGATGCGAGAGGAGGAGGAGGAGGAGGAGGAGGAGGAGGAGGAGGAGGAGAGGGAGGAGGAGGAGGAGGAGGAGGAGGAGGAGGAGGAGCGAGGAGGAGGAGGGAAAGGCAAAGGGATATGAGAAGGAGGCGGAGGAGGAGGAGGAGGAGGAGGAGGAGGAGGAGAAGGACGAGCGAGGAGTAGGGGGAGGAGGAGCGAGGAGGACGAGGATGAAAAGAAGGAACGACGAGGAAGAGGAACGATGAGTAGTGGGAGGAGGAGCGAGGAGGAGGACGAGGAGGAGGAGGAGGAGGAGGAAAGATGAGGAGAAAAAGGAAGATGAGGAGGAGACGGAGGAGGAGGAGAAGGAGGAGGAGGTGTAAGAGAAGGAGGGAGGAAGGGAAGGAGGATGAGGATGAGGATAAGGAGCAGGAGGAAGAGGAGGAAAGGGAGGAGGACGAGGAAGAGAGGAGGAACTGGGATTGATGTTCCATTTGACGCCGCCCAACAGGTGAAATGAGGGAACATGGGGAAGATGATAATGATATTCACTCATGCGCCTTTGGCATGGGCTCGACACTAATCCCTTTTTCTAAGCATGGGGTAGAGGCCACGCGTCATGAGGCGCCATCGGTCCAGGTCGTTACGGTCAGTTACCTTCGAATCACACGGACGGCTTAAGCGAAACACTCTCCCGAGACAAATGTAGATTTCCCATCTGGCACAGACGAAGAGCGGAGACGGGTCACTGCACCACAAGGCGAGCAGGCGGTGACCCAAATTAGACATTTCTTGCACAGCTGGTGGAGGCTGTCCTCGGCATCCTCCGCAGGGAGGTCACTCAACAGAACGACGGTAACGAAGACGGCACACGCATCGCCAGACACCGCGATACCATTCCCATGGATGGCCGAAGGGGGACTCAAACGAGGACGCGGGAGGCATGGGAATGGCTCGCGTGACATCACTGAGGTCGAACTTTCGGCCAGTTCGGAAACACAGCTGCAGCAACTCGGCAAACAACGCGGGCAGCTGCAACAATCCCATCGACCTGCGCCATCTCGTCCGCACTGGCCTGCGGATGTAATGACGCACCGTGTTTCGCAACCCTGTCAGCTGCGTCATTGCCGTGCATTAAAAACTGATGTGTGGCAGAGAGATCGGCGGAGTCGACCGTGTGCGCTTTGACTATACGCGCCTCTTTCCAGTGCGCGGTGGAGGTGGAACCAGCACTACAATAATACCTTTTGCTAGGACAGAAACGCACAGCCTTAGGAGAAACGTGGGCCCGAACGACCCCTTTTTCACAATCCGCATAGCCCGTGGTGGGCCAATTAAGGCACTGAGCTGTTGCAGCATGGGCGCTATATTCGCCCGCTTGAGAGGTCTGAAGAAAAGGCCTCCCAACAGCACCCGAGACAGAGGCTATCACCTCCCCGTGTGGGTCAACAGAGACAAACCCCCAGCCCGCCCAAGACATCTCCTTAATGACATGCTTATAAGACGAACCGTCCCCCCCCCCCCCCCCCGAAAAAACATCCCCACTGACGCCAATGGCTCCAGGCACGGCTCCGGGGGCTCCAGCCAAAAAAATGCAGGATACGACCCTCTGAAGGAAGAGCGAGGAGGAGGAGGAGGAGGAGGAGGAGGAGGAGGAGGAGGAGGGGACAAAACAAGACAAGCTCGCGGAGTCCTGCTGGCCGACGGCGGGATCGACGCAATAGGACCCTCTGGGGACGGCCATTCCGCCATCTTCAGCACAGTGCAGGCCGCGCGTTGCCCCACCGGGGCACGGGTCCAACCAGCAACCCCAAGGGCACAAGATTCCCTGTAGGGCGCCGCCCGCAGGGCGCGAGCCATTTGCCTCACATTTCTGACCCTTTAGAGATTGGGGCGAACGGGATCTGGAGCGAGCGGGCGAACAGGAGCGAGGGTGCCCACAGGGATGGACGGAAGAATAGCGTGACAAAATGTAACAACGGAGGCCCGCGTGGCGCGCTTCGCCACCTCCGCCGAGACCATGCGCTGACACACCAACTCTGCTGTCACTCATAAGAAGCGCCTGGCGGCTGGAGAAGAACAACTCTTGTTGCCCAAACTGATGATTTGTCGCGTCAAGGTCAGCGGTGGACAAACCTCCGTTTAATCAACCTCCCCTTAGTGAAAGCGGCCTGGGACTAAAACCGACGGACCAGGACACGCAAAAATAGCAGCCGCGACGCCCTCTCGCGAACCGAAAACGGCCAATCCCTTAATCGACGTGTCAGGGTAGGAGGCCGATCCGCCTCCGACAACAAAAGGCCCCGCGGGGCTGGGCCTGGCATCCTCTCCGCTGGCTGGCTCACCATAGTCTTGCTCATCAGCTCGTGGCGGCGGAGGCCCCGCTGGAGACCTGCCACCCGCCGCCCACTCGAAAGGGCCCGTGCGCTCCTTGCCGCCCCTGCCCCTGTGGAGGTGCACGCGGAAGCCGCGGACGAGGGCCCCCAACTCGGGCAACGGGGCGGGCCCGTTGAGCAGGGACCGACCGTCCCGGCATTCCTATATTACTACCACGGAATGTCCGCATAACCCAGAAATATTCTCAGAACGAAAACGATGTTCTTAGAACAGAATCCCGATGTGACCAAAAAAAAAAAGGCTCCGCCATACATGTTGTAAGAACATTTCGTGGACACCACAAAAGGTTATTAGGCCATTGTTTGGTAGGGCCATAGGCGAGCCGAGACGCTTCGCCAATGCTTGAACCTGGGGTTCGTCATGGCCTTGATCACCACCGTCTTCATATCCTCGTCTTTCTTCTCCGTGAACAGCGAGACGGCGGCGATCACCAACGTCATGCAGATGTGCAGCTGTGGATTCCCTCGGCCTCTCCGGTCCTGAGCCTCGCCCTGGGACTGAGCCTTCTTCGTGTCCTCGCTGGTGTCGTTGCTCTCCTTGCCCGCGCGCGCAGGCTTCCACGAGAGCACTGACGGCTGGGAGGACGGCGCATTCGTAGACCGTCGACATCAGCTCTGCGACGTCCCGCTCGAGCGTGACGAGGAGGCGCGCCATGACTGTCACGAGCTCGGCCTGGACGCTGCCCTTGCCGCCCTGCCCGTGCTGGCCTCCTTCGCGTCCTTGTCCTTCTCGGCCTCCTTCGCGTCGCCCTCGGCGCCGGCCTCGAGGCGGCGCATCTTGTCTTGGAACCGCGCTGGCAGGAGCAAACATGCACGGCCCTGCCCCTGTGTCGCCATCCTCGCGACCACGAGAAGCGGCAGGTGTAGCCAGATGAGCTGGAAGATGCTGTTGAACCAAATGGCGACAAAGCCCGTCGAGACCTCCTTTTTCGCTGTGGCAGAGACGACACGAGAACGAGCTGGACTGCACAAGAGGCAGAAGTGCGCGCCCTCCTCCCACGAGGCAAGTACCCCTGAACATGGCCGTCTCCAGATGCCTCCCTGGACACCACCTATCACAAAAAAAACGGCCTTGCAACACATGCAAAACGTAAGAAGGTGCGAGCACAGCCGAGAGCTTACGCTGGTGATGCGCAAAACGAACATGGCTCAACAACTGCTTCCGCGTGTGAAACCTGGTATCACAGCCGGGGACATTACAACACCAACTCTGGCCGTCAGGATCATCAGAAAACGGAGACATGTTACTTGAGACCTGGCTTTCTGCTACACGCTCATGTCCCAGTCGCCCTGCGTGACCAGGGGGTGGGGTTGCCACCGAGAGGACCCTCGAAAAAAGCTTCGTCATGCCAGTGGCCAAGAACTCCAAGCTCCGATCACGATCTGCCAGGATCCTCAAGTCGTGGGCAACGTCCTCAATGCACTGCTCATCTATAAGTTGGGCTGCCAAAGGTCGATCCTCCACCACCTGTCGGGCCCACGGCGAGGCTTAGCCAGCTTTCCTCCCGAGCACGGCGGGCGATAGAAATCCATCTCCAGGGGACCGAAGAGCGCAATCAGAACCTGGGCAGGCCCTTCAGGATCAGCAGCCCAACCTTGGCACAGACGAAGGCAACGGATGTGTAGTTCGACCCTGGAACCCTGAATGGGGCCCTGGGACACACAAATAAATACACACAAATAGAAAGATTCCCCATATTTCCTATATTTTCTGAGTTTTTGTCTTCCCCACCACTTCCCATATGTTCCCATACTTTCTGGGGAATCGACGATTAATTGTGTCTGTGTGTTTCTTTCCCTCCTGGAACTCGTGAGCTCCCAGAAATCCAGAACCTGCTGCGTGCTGACGCTGTGCCCGCGCTCCCCCTCCCAGCCGGTGGCCTTGCCCTGCACCACGATGCGCGCCAACCCAGCCAGACAGCCACTCATGAAGGGGCCCAAGGACACACACACACAGACACACACACACATGAATACACACAAATAAACTGATTCCCCATATTTTCGAAAATTTTCTGGGTTTCTGTCTTCCCCCCCACTTCCCATATTTTCCAATATTTTCTGGGGAATCGAGGATTAAGTGTGTCTGTGTGTTTCTTTTCCTCCTGAATTCAATAAAGAGTCGTCTCGAGGAAAAAAAACCAAAGAGCCCCAAGAGCGGACAGCTCAGCATTTTGCACCAGGCCTTGCAGCAGCGATCGCCTACGTCGACGAACAGTGGGTAACGAAGGCCCGCCTGGCTGCGTCAACCTCGCGGTGGGCACTGCCCCGAAGAGCCAGATGGGGGCCTCAGTGCCTGGCGCCCTCTTCGGGGCCCCCCGAAAGGCCGAAACGATCGGCCTCTCGAGGCACTTTTACGAACATAGTACGAGCCAACCCCCGAGAAATAGAACAAGAACTCTTGCTTACTCAAATCCTGGGCACGGCCAAAGTCCGAGAGGGAATCGTTCAACAGGACATCGACCTCATAGATCTGATGTAAGAAATCGACAAACGTCATACCCTCAACCGCAACGACAAACGTGTTCAGAACATCCGCGTACTTTCAGTGCGACAGGTCGGTCTGGAGGTCGCCCCACTTCCCCTTCAGGACCTTCGCCATAGGGTCCACGTATATTAAGTGTCTGATCGATCTCAGAATAAGTCTAGAAAGCGTTTGCAGGAATGTCTTTACCACAGATGGAACTCCCATTGCTTCGCCCTCCCGTGTTGTTACTGTGATGTTGCCGCCACTACCAGTAAGCTCATCGCCGGCAACTGGTTCGTTGCTTACAGAGATCGGTATCTTCAGGCCGGGTGTGGATTTCAATGCTCACGTCCATGATGTCCCAGGAGTTACTGGCGAAGCTTGAGCGTCAAACACTATCTACGTTTTACCTGTCTCAACCTGTGGCGAATACTCTGAGCGATCAAGATCGGGTTCTCCCGTCGGCGTCCACTGACGAAACCGTGGACGAAGAATGTGGCCTGACCGCTGACCCGAGAGGCGAACAAAACTTTGCCCGTGACTGGAAGTACATGTACTACCCTACGTCCGCGAGGCCCGAGAGACATATGTTCATTGAGGGCACGCACTGCAATACATGCCAATAAAGCGGCGACAAGCCTGACCTTCTTCAACTCGATGATTAAGAGGAGGAGGAGGAGGAGGAGGAGAAGGAGGAGGAGAAGGAGGAGGAGAGAGGGGAAGCAGGAGGAATGAGGGAGGAACGAGGGAGGAATGGAGGAGAAGGAGAAGGAGGAGGAGGAGGAGGAGGAATGAAGGACGAGGACGCGACGAGGGGGAGGCGAACGCTCACGTGGCCCCCTGGCCCTCCGCGGAGCCGCCCCTCGGCGGCGGCGAGCGGCGGCGCGGCGCCCGCGACGGTGCCGCGGCGGCGGCGGGCGGCGCGGCGGCGGCGCGCGGCGGCGCGGCGCGGGGCCGTTGCACCGGCGGTGCCCGCGCGTGCCGTTGTTGACCTTCTCACGGCCCGCGGCCTGGCCCGTGCCGAAGGGGGTCGCCTCCTGCCGCGCGCCCGAGGCTGCCTCCTCCCTCCTCCTCCTCCTCCTCCTCCTCCTCCTCTTCCTGCTCGCTCATCCTCCTCCACCCTCCTCCCCTCCTCCTCCTCCTCCTCCTCCTCCTCCTCCTCCTCCTCCTCCTCCTCCTCCTCATCCTCCTCCTCTCTCCACTACTCCCCCTCCTCCTCCTCCCTCCTCCTCCTCCTCCTCCTCTCCTCCTCCTCCTCCTCCTCCTCCTGCCTCCTCCTCCTCCTCCTCCTCGCTCCTCCTCGCACCTCTTCCTCCTCCTCATCCTCCCCTCCGCCTCCTCCTCCTCCTCCTCTCCTCCTCCTCCTTCTCCTGATCCTCCTCCTCCTACTCTCGCTCTCTCTCCTCCTCCTCCTCCTCCTCCTCCGTCCGGAGGTGTGCGGCGATGCTTGGCATAAACATGAGTGGGCGGCAGCGGGCAACTCGTGCCCCACGCTCGGCATGCAAGACGGACCGACCCCGCACCCGCCCCCCGTTCGGGAAGTTTCGGACGGCTGCTGCAGGGTTCTGGAGACCGCCCAGCATCTTGCCACCCCCCATTCTCCTCTCCTCTCCTCTCCTCTCCTCTCCTCTCTTCCTCTCTCCTGCCTCATCCTCCTCCTCCTGCCCTCCTCCTCCTCACTCCACCTCCTCCTCCTCCTCCTCTTCTCCTTCCGCTCCTCCTCGCTTTCTCCTCGCTCCTCCCTCTCGCCCTCCCTCCTTCCTCCTGCTCCTCCTCCTCCTCCCTCCTCCTCCTCCTTCTTCCTCCTCCTCCTCCTCCTCCTCCTCCTCCTCCTACTCCTCCTCCTCCTCCTACTCCTCCTCCTCCTCCCTCCTCCTCCTCCTCCTCCTCCATTCCTCCTCGCTCCTGCTCGTCGCTCCTCCTCGCTCCTCCTCCTCGCTCCTCTTCGCTCCCTGTCGAAGATTCCCCGCGGGCTCTCTGCGGGCTCAGGAAGCCGCGCGTCCTCCCTGCTTTCCTCCGTCCTGCCCTCCCCTTCTTGCCGCCCCTGTGCTCACAGAGTGTCTCTACTAAGTGGCGCACGCTATATATGATCTCGTGGGCCTGGTAGCCTCTTCTAACACCAAACTGGTTCTCACTGCGGCATGTTTGCACCGTGACCCTCTGAGCTTGCATCGCCATCGTGCTCGAGATTTTCTGCGACACGGAGATCGGCGAGATCGGTCTGAACAGGCTGATCTTCTTGGCAGCGGGCATTTCCCGAATCAGCTGGACCGCGCGTTCGTTCCAAGCCTGATCGAATTCGGTAAGAGAGTCTGCACCCTCAACCTGAAAACCGCCAAGATCTGAACCAAGACGTCCTCGTCGGGCCCTTGGAGCACCTCCAGTACTATCATGTCTGTCTCATCGCGCGACTTTTTTTTTTCAGTTTCGCGATGCACATCCTGAGCAGCGGCAGGCTGAGCGGAACCTCCTGCTGCTGCTCCTGTGCAGCCCGCTGGCTGCAAATGCAATCGGGCAGCTGTCTGTCCCTGCGCTCGTCTTGGAATAGCTCTAAGTAAAACGTATGAGCGGCCTGCCTGCGAGCCACGCCAGTCCGCGCCTGCCCGCCGCCCTCCGTCTCCAGGCTGAATACTGGACGACCCGACTTGCACTGTGTGACCCGCCGCCCCTCGGTCGCAGAGCCCGGCCAGGTGTTCCGCCGCGCGGCGGCCCCGCAAGGCGCGCTTCATCTTGCAGGCCGCAGGCCCTGGCATGCGCCGAACGCGAGGATCGCCCTGGCGGGCGCGCTCGCGTTCGCGCGCCTGCAGCTGCAGCAGCTGCTCGCCCCAGGCGGTCGCCCTCGGCGCGGGGCGTAGCCTGCCGCGGCGGCTGCGCTGCAGGTCGCGGAGACCAGGGCGCTCAGCGGGGCGACGCCCTCCCGCGAGCAGCTTGCCGAGGCGCAGGAAGTGCCAGGTGCGAGCCCGGCGCGACGCCCGCGCCCTTCCGCTCGATGGAACCCGCCTGCGCTTCTTGGCAGCGCGGCTGGACGCGCAGTGCTGTTCGCAAGTCTCCCTGGCGGCGGCGGCGCCCCACTCAGCAGCAAAGTGGGGCCCCCTCTAGCGGCGGTCCGTGTAGCGGATGTCGGTGCCCATCTTGGCCAGCGCATCGGCTTCCCCATCCCCGACGTTGTTATTGTGGCTCTTGGTCCAGCGGATCATCGTGTTGAAGTGGCGCCGGCACTGCGCCCAGAGGTGCGCGGCCGGCGCGGCGAGCTCGAAATTCCTTCGGCTGGAAAACGCCCTGCAGCAGGTTGCGGACGCAGGCGGGGCCCGCACTGACCAGCAGGCGCGCGCGGTCGCGCACCAGAGGGCCAGGAAGTCCCCGTTGCCCCAGCAACCAGAGCAACGCCTCAGCGATGGCAGGGAGCTCGCCCGCACCGGAGGAGAGCCAGGTCGAACCAAGAAGCCTCGGGCCTTTAGGCTCGAGAACAGCTTGGCCACAAGCCTCCAGCAACGGCATGTCCTGATCGCTCAGCTCGGCAACGTGGTGCAGCGCGAAGCCCCGGCCAGCAGCCGTGCATCGGTGGCGCGCAGCGCGATCGAACCCTCCGCGAGCAGAGCCATCCATCCGCGAGGATGTCCATGGCGTTCGTCATGTCGCCGTCGCTGTACATCCGCGGCACGGGCGGCGTGGTGCTGATCTCCAGGGAGGTGCAGATGCAGAGTTCGCGGTTGTCGATCTGCCAGGCCGCGGGCGCGCGCGGTGGGCGCGCCAGCTCCTCCGTCGGCTCTGGCTCGATCGGGCCGCCGATCGTGGCGACGAGCTGGCCTGCCAGGCAGCGCGGCAACAAGGGCGCGCGGTCGCTCTCGGTGGCGCCCGAGAAACCCGCATGGAAGAACGCGCGCCGCAACCAGCCCCTGTGGATCACTACGAAATCGATCTGACGGGGCTCCTTCCTGTTGTCGAAGAAACAAGTGGCTTGCCCCCACTGGCCCTTCGTGAAAGCGTTCGCTGCAACGAGGTCGAACTCCGTCATCAGGTCGTGGAGTATCTCGCCTCCCCAGGAATCTCGGAGGCGGAGAAGGGGCCGACAATGTCACCATCAGCTGGTCCAAGGCATTCCTGGGCGTCGGTACTGGCAGTGGCGTGGCAATCAACAGGCATGGACACTAGACAATCTGTGGATCGAATTCATCGGCGAGCACTTCTAGCGCGTGGCGCCGCTGGCGAGCAAGGGCACCTCTCGCATTCCACCCCAAACTATGACGTCCCTGAAGTCCTTAGCAAAGCGGCGCCCGCGCACTCGAAATCACTGCTGCCGCGGGGGGTCGTTGATCTCGCCCATCTGCTCGCCCAGCTTCATCTCCTGCAGCTCCTGGTCCAAAAGAGTCTGGGCGAGCAGATCTGTGCCGAGCTCCAGAAGGTCGGACGCCCGCGTCCTGCACAGGATGCGGATCGGGCGCTCCGTGCCTCTCTTTTTCTGCACACAACCTGGCCTGTCCCAGTCGTGGCATCGAACGTGCGCATCTTCGTCTCCTCTGTGCACAACCCCTTCTGAATCCCGTACTCCCTCAGGATCCGCACCGCGAAGCTGACCCTCCTGGAAAGCTCTACTTCGTGCGGCTCCTGATCCACTTTCTGCCGCAGTCGGTCGTTGTGAGCTCCAGGGCACGGAATCTTCTGTCCCTTCCACCTGCGCATGAAATCCCACATCTTGTGGGCGGTCACGAGGTTTCTTTTAGCCGGGTCACAGAAGCGCCGCACGCCGTATATCTCAGCGATGCCCTGCTGATCTAGCGACTGCTCCTTCGACGACTCCGTCTGCAGCTGCCTCTCGATCGTCAGCCTTGTCCCACGTTCCAGGAAAACCCGTTACGAAAACCACGTGCTTCGTTCTTTGTCTGCCTCGAAGAGCCTTCGCGCCCGGGGCTGGCGGCGGCGTGGCGCCCTCACGCTGCTGCTGGAGGTAATGACCCCAAGGATCAGGCTGACGTCCAGGCGCGCCGACGCCTGCCCTCGAAGCTGCGGTGCTCGCGCCCGCTGAGGAGCGGCCCGTCTCCAGGGCTGACAAGCGGGCCTCCTGCGAGGTGACGCGCGAATGCATCGCTGCGATGTCCCTCGCGCGGCGCAGCGCGGTCACGGTGCTTTTCACCGTCTCCAGTCGTACGCCCATCGTGCTATTCAGCGCTCCACTGATGTACTGAGCCAGGTTCAGCTGGTTTCTGTCGAACTCAGGCGGCGGCGCGGGCGCGGGAGGCGGCGCCACTGGCCGCGGCTTGCCCAGTCCATCGTCGGTCGCGGCGTCCTCTGTCGCCTCTCCGTCCAGCTCCATCTTGGCGGCTGCGTCCATGCGGCTGCGCCGGTTGCGCTCCCAGTGGACTCCGCCTGGCGCCGCCGCAGCGAGAGCCGACGCCGTCAGCAGAGAGCCTGCCGCCACCGACATGTCTGAGAGACTTGCACGAGGACCAGAGCTGGCGCGGCCAGTGAAAACGAGAAGTCTGTGACCTGGCGGGCAGCCAGGCCAGGACGGTCGATCCTCCAGTGCTGCCTGGGTGCCGTCTTGAGCCAAAACGAGGACGACGACGACGACGACGGTCGCCTCTGGAGACGTGTGGAGGCTCTCCAGTGCCTGGC